CTACACTGCAGTTGAACACCTGAGGCTGGCTGGTGTCAGCTGACTCAGGTTTGTGGAGCCTGGGCTGCAGGGCTATAAAACTGCAGTGTAGATCCCCATCATGGGGTCCCTGAGCCCGGACATCTACACTGCAGTTTTACAGACCCACAGCCTGAGCCCCACAAGCCCAAGTTAGCTCACATGGGCCAGCCGCAGACGTTTAGCTGCACTGTAGACATCACTCTGAGTCCTCACATTAATCAAGAAAATAAATGGGTATTCTAGAAACGACACACACTGCCTCCACCTGAGTGTTGTGGAAAATAGGTGAGGGCTATGGCACAACTTTGGACAAGCGCAATTAAAGAAGTTAGCCCCGAAAACTAAGATCATCCTGGCAATTTGGAATACTGGCATACTTATTGGCCTAGCATGGAGCTGGCAGAGACACTGAAAGAGGAAGAAGTTTCGGATAGCATGCACCCAGGAAACAAATGGAAAGGAAAGACTGTGAATGTACTACTTGTATCCATTTTAAAAAGGCCTCGCTAGATGCACTGCCACTCTACCTAATCTCTTAAATCTCACTCAGATGGAGAGGTAATTTCACAAACCCAGATGAATACAGAGGTTTTCCGGGGATTAGTCATTTATTATATTTTATTAAAGGAGAAGTAATGAAGTGCATACACTGTACATGCTAATGATTTACAGAGACTATAATGACAATACCTTCTGCTCATACAGCACTTTTCATTCTGAAAGCGCTGTATAGAACAAAACACCCTATGCAGGTAGACAAATAAGTATTAGCCCCATTTTATAGATGAGGAGATAGACAGATATTAAGTGACTTGCTCATCACACTTCAGTAAATCAGCAGCAGAAACAGGATTAGAAATCAGGACATCCAGACTCCAATCCCATGCTCAAGGCTATGTTGCTTCTCTGTACCCAGCCTACTACAGAGTCCCCCTCATACCAGGCTACTCTCAGGAGGTTCATATGCTACTCCTGGGGAAATTTTGTGCCACTGGGCATGTGCAGAATTCATATCCCCTGCAGATTTTTTTTCTCCACAGAAAATACATTCAACCGGAGAGGCGCTGCAGTTATGGCTTTCACCCAGTAGGGGCTGCTGTGGCACCAGAACAGAGGGCATCCGGCTCACCAGCCGTAGCAGTGAGCTACAGAGGAAGGAAGGAAGAGGAGGCTGCATTCCTCACAGTGCCCTGCCCATGGGGCCAGGTAAGGAACATAAGAACGTCCATAATGGGTCAGACCAATGGTCCATCTAGCCCAATATCCTGTCTTCCGACAGTGGCCAATGCCAGGTGCTTCAGAGGGAATGAACAGAACAGATAATCATCAAGTGATCAAGGAGGCACGGGGGGTAGGGGAGGGAACAGGCAGAGTGGGGCACACAGGGCTGCTGGGCTTCAGAAAGGCTAGTGGGGGGGACAGACTGGGGTGGGGGCTGAATGGAGGTGCAGGTCCACACGGGGACTGGCAGAGGGGTGACTGAGTGAGGGTGCAGAGATACATGGGGACAAGGGAAGGGGGGTGGCTGAGTGGGGGTGCAGGGACACATGGTACCTTCCAGTCCTATGAATCTATGGGGATAGGGGCAGATGTGCCGGGATCAGCCAGGGTCTGCATGGGGGAGGCTCCCTAACGATATCTCCCCCCACCCCATCCCCGGGGGGAAAAGACTGTTCTATATTTCTCTCACCCACACCCAACAACCCTCCAGGTTCACTCCCAGGCTCCTTCCCTCTCTCTCTCAGCCCCTCCATTACCCCTGACACCCCCAAGCCTTTGCACTGCTTCTGAAGGGTGTGGGAAATAAGTTTCTGTATTGTAATTTAAATGAATTATTACTCAAAGTTCTGTATTAATAAGCTTAGCAAGGAATCTGTCAAAAAACATTTCCTGAACCTTTTTTGTCTGTATTGTTACAAGTATACTTCCTCACAGGTATTTTGAAATACGTTACCAAATAACTGAAACTGGCATGATTATATTGTGTTATTTTGACAAATAAAAAAATGCAGAATTTGAAAATATTGTGCACAGAATTTAATTTTTTTTTTTTTTTGGGCCACAGAATTCACCCAGGAGTAATATGCATGTTATTTCTGGTATGCTTGGTAGGTCTAGCATTTACCATTTTTCCTCAGTCAACTTAAAACAAAAGGAAAACCAATAAAAAGATACTAAGAATGAAGAATCAGAATTAGCCAGTTCTGACGCACAACATATACCTGCCACCCAACAACAGCATTCTGCCAATCCACCAAGTTCTCATACAGCTAAAAAGTGGGCCCAGTTCCAAATTCAGCTATTTTCCTTCTGTAGGCAAAGAACAATTTATTTACTTCTGCTCTCTTCCAGGTCCATAGGAGCCAGTCCTGGTTAAGTGAAGGGTTGCAATGTTGGTCTTTACAGTACATTGATAAGGAAAGCCAACAGCCACCACAGTAGTTTGTCAATCCATTTTTCTATCAAGTTTTGGCCCATGCTGTTTAACAGGCTTTAACTGACACACCTGCGTAAGGAGTTTTATTACCTTTCAATATCTGCAATCTTTAAATCCAGACCAGCAGTCCCCAAACTTTTCAGGGTTGCACCCCCACTTACCCATTCGCGCCCCACCCCCGAGCTGGGAGTGAAAGCCAAGACTATAACAGGGTTCAAAAAAGAACTAGAAAAATTCATGGAGGATAGGTCCATCAATGGCTATTAGCCAGGAGGGGCAGGGATGGTGTCCCTAGCCTCTATTTGCCAGAAGCTGGCAATGGGCAGCAGGGGATGGATCACTTGATGATTCCCTGTTCTGTTCATTCCCTCTGGGGCACTTGGTATCGGCCACTGTCGGAAGACAGGATACTGGGATAGATGAACCTTTGGTCTGATCCAGATCCAGTATGGCCATTCTTATGTTCTTATGCGATGCAGACAGGGGTTAGGGGGGCGAGGCTGGAGGTGCAGCTGCGGGTGTGTCTGGGGCCAAGGCCGGGGCCAAAGCCACAGCCAGGCTACATTAGGGGCCGGCAGCCGGGCCCGGTTCAGCTCCGTTCCCAGCCCCACTCCCAACCTTGGCCCCAGGCCGAGAACAAACCCGCGGCCAAGGCTGGGGTTGGGACCGGGAGCAGGGGCAGGGGCGGGTCTGCAGCCGGGCTGCAGTGAGGACCAGGGCCAGCAGCCAGGCCCACGGCCTGGTGCAGCTCTGCCCCCACTCCCAGCTTCGGCCCGGGAATAGAGCCATGGCCAGGGGCAGGGCCAGGAACAGAGATGGGGCCGATGCTGGGGACGGAGCCAAGTGGCAAGGCCGAGTGGCACTCCCTTCCTACCCCCTGTGGGGGCTGGCCCAGGCATGCCCCACAGTTTGTGGACCTCTGATCCAGACCAAGCTCACCTCCCACTTCCTTCAGCCATTTAATCAGAAATGGAAATTTATACATCAACATTTGTCAGTAATGTGTTCTCCCAGTAATTTGTTAACTACAGGGAAACCCAAATAGCTCACCCTCCAATGATAAGGAGAAACAGTAACTGAACATAGTGGCCTTGGATTTACAAGAATGTTAGAGGTTATTCATTCAAAGAAGTGTTATGAACCTAAAAAGGTTTAATTTAGTCTGACTGTTTTGCAAACCTATTTAAGATCTCAATAGAGAAATACAATTTTAAATGTATGGGCCATTTAATAAAAGCGGTCTGATCCATCTACATGGTTTACAAAGCTTTTGCAGTCTCTCTAATAAATGTGTACCATTCCATGGGGCTTTACACACCTCTATTGTAACTTCTATCACCCAAATGTGAACAGCTACTACCTTCAATTTGACAAGTAAGGATCAAAGGCCCTGTTTATATCTCCCGAACTCCAACAATGGGAATGTGTCACTTTCAAGACCTATTTCTTTCAAAATCTTGCCTTTTAGGCAAATTGCTTAACAACCCTTTCAGATTGGCATAAGAAATTTCAAGAATTTTTTTCCTTTAGCTTCTCTACAGTTGCAGAAGACAGAGGATGTTTCACTTACATAGAAGTCAGTGGTATAAAATAAACAGGTGGCACCTGGACAGGTTCTCCCAAAGTAATAAAGGCCAACTAGGAACCAAACAACGCAATGAAGGGAAGCTGAAATAATTTTATCAGTCCCTGATTTTTCAGATTAACAGGACATTGAGATAGAGACACGGAACTTTCAAGTAGGAAGAAATTTTTTTCCCACTAAAATGGAATGGCCCTGCTAGCCATCGGAGAAGCGTGCCATATACATGCCAGCACACGCTCATCTGGGATGCAATCCAGATCTCCCATAAAGCACTGGAGCTCTTTTTCGTAATTCACATTGCCTATGTTACAAAGCCCGATTGCTCCAACAGAAACTGTCCCAGAAACTCCTGAAAAGAATTCAGTAGACAGATAAGTCTTTTAAGTAAAAAGATTACAAATTTCTATTGCTTAGACTGAGGAACATCTTCCATAAGCAAGAGCATCATATATCTCCGGCTGTTCCTCTTTGGTTAGACCATGCCAGTGTAGTGCCCTGATATATCCAGAGCCATTCTGCTTTGATTTAGTAGTAACAGAATGTCAAAATTATTTACCCTAAGGATAAACACACAGGCTGCCGAGTCAAACCACATGTTCTATGTGAACCTCTGGGCAAAGTGCTTTAATTTACCCATAAATATTCTCTAGGTCTCAAAAAGACCTACTTTTGTAGGAGATCTTACATTTTGCAAGGATATACAGCATGTTTATAGGTTCAACAGAGCCACACATTATAACATATCAGGTCTCATTGGACTCTAGCTCAACATTTTATGTAGAAAAGTATAGAAAGAGCTGAATAGAGCTTTTCAAAAATCAAGTAAACTGCAATTCTGTTAAAGCTTTGTGCAGACTCATCACCTTTGTGAGATTACCTTGAGAAGGCTTGGTAAGGAGAGATGGTATTTTATGAACACTAAGCTGAGGTTTATCAGTGCACTAAAGCTAACTTTACCTTCTGTAGGAAGAGGACAATTCTAATAAGCATCTTGGCATGCAGTTCCTCCAAGGTGAAGAGCGTCCGTGGAGTCCGTATGAAAATCTTGGTCTTCCCATAGGCTACATCATGCTGAAACCCACAGCACTCAATCAATTTCTTCACAGCTTCTTTGTCTGAAGAGAGGTCATGGTTTGGCCAAGTAAATTCTGAGACCATCTTGTACCTGGATTAACACAAAAAAATTAAATCTATCATCAACTTCCCATCTGTGCTCCCAAGCCCACCCTTAAACACATTGTAGAGTTTATCTTTTAGATTAAGATTTCTGTTCGCTGATGGCTGTAATAATTTAGATATTCTGTGGATGTGACGGGATTCCATGAGAAGTACAAAAAGGAATGCGAGCAGCAGAGTTGAAAGATGGATGATTTGTGGAATACCAGTAAGAACTACCACAGTCACCCCAATAAGAACAGATGCAACATGGCAGAGCCCACCCATAGATCCTTGCAGGATGAGCAAATCCGCTACTCAACTCAAGTTATTTCTAGACTTTCCATTTCAACAGTTTTTAAACATTTGCTAAGAACAAAACCTTTATTTCAACTTACTTCTTTGCAGAAGTCAACTGAAATTGAGCTATGTACTTAATGTTTATTCAGAAAAACTGGACCTTTTTAAAATCCTGCACTCATCTCCTGCCCCTCATTTCTGTACCACTCCCAGACTAGTTTCATTATGCTAGAAAGTGGTAGGCAGCTGTGTGGCACTCTGCGCTCCAAAGCGGTACCCTGGCACCCCTTATTTACCATGGTGATATAATTATGATATGTTTGGTACAAAGTATGCCTTGTGAGGAATCATTTTAAAAGGCTTGATCTGTCAAACATTAATATCCTGTTGGATTGCATGTGCTTTCATTGTATGGGAAGTTATGAAGTTTTGCTATGTGTGTGTTACTGAAATATTTTGTAAAATTGGGAACACCCACAACCAGCCTTTCAAGTACAACAATGGAGTAGCTGATGATGGTCTATTAAAGGGAGTCCACACTCACAACAACTATCCTAGAAACTGTATACAATGGAGACCTTCTCAGAGATAGCACGTAGACAATAGAGACTGCTTTCAACAGGTATGTTAGCAACAAGGTGGTGGTCAGGGAAAGTGTGGGACCCTTACTGAATGGGGGAGGCAACCTAGTGACAGATGATGTGGAAAAAGCTGAAGAACTCAATGCTTTTTTTGCCTTCGTCTTCACAGACAAGGTCAGCTCCCAGATTGCTGCACTGGGCAGCACAGTATGGGGAGGAGATGAGCAGCCTTCAATGGTGAAAGAACAGGTTAAGGACTATTTAGAAAAGCTGGACATGCACAAGTCCATGGGGCCGGATCTAATGCATCCAAGGGTGCTGAGGGAGTTGGCTGATATGATTGCAGAGCCATTGGCCATTATCTTTGAAAATGTGTGCTGACTGGGGAAGGTCCCGGATGTTTCGAAAAAGGCAAACATAGTGCCCCTCTTTAAAAAAGGGAAGAAGGAGAATCCAGGGAACTACAGACCTCAGCCTCACCTCAGTCCCTGGAAAAATCATGAAGCAGGTCCTCAAGGAATCCATTTTGAAGCACTTGGAGGAGAGGAAGGTGATCAGGAATAGTCAACATGGATTCACCAAGAGCAAGTCATGCCTGACCAACCTGATTGCCTTCTACGATGAGATAATTGGCTCTGTGGATGAGGGGAAAGCAGTGCACGTGATATACCTTGACTTTAGAAAGCTTTTGATATGGTCTCCCACAGTATTCTTGCCAGCAAGATAAAGAAGTATGGACTGGATGATGGACTAAAAGGTGCATAGAAAGCTGGCTAGATCATCGGGCTCAACAGGTAGTGATCAATGGCTCCATGTCTAGTTGGCAGCCTGTATCAAGCGGAGTGCCACAGGGGTTAGTCCTGTGGTCGGTTTTGTTCAACATGTTTATTAATGATCCGGATGGTGGGATGGATTGCACCTTCAGCAAGTTCGCAGATGACACTAAGCTGGGGGGAGAGGTAGATATGCTGGAGTGTAGGGATAGGGTCCAGAGGGACCTAGACAAATTGGAGAACTGGGCAAAAGAAATCTGAAGAGGTTCAACAAGGACAAGTGCAGAGTCTTGCACTTAGGACAGAAGAATCCCATGCACTGCTACAGACTAGGGACCGAATGGCTAGGAAGCAGTTCTGCAGAAAAGGACCTGTGGATTACAGTGGATGAAAAGATGAATATGAGTCAACAGTGTGCCCTTGTTGCCAAGAAGGCTAACGGCATATTGGGTTGCACTAGTAGGAACATGCCAGCAGATCGAGGGAAGTGATTATTCCCCTCTATTCAGCACTGGTGAGGCCACATCTGGAGTATTGCGTCCAGTTTTGGGGGGCCTCCTACAGAAAGGATGTGGACAAATTGGAGAGAGTCCAGCGGAGAGCAAAAAAAATGATTCGAGGGCTGGGACACATGACTTACGAGGAGAGGCTGAGGGAACTGGGCTTGTTTAGTCTTCAGAAGAGAAGAGTGAGGGGGGATTTGATAGCAGCCTTCAACTACCTGAAGTGGGGGGGTTCCAAAGAGGATGAGCTAAGCTGTTCTCAGTGGTAGCAGATGACAGAACAAGGAGCAATGGTCTCAAGTTGCAGTGGGGGAGGTTTAGGTTGGATATGAGGAAAAACTATTTCACTAGGAGGGTGGTGAAACACTGGAATTGGTTACCTAGGGAGGTGGTGGAATCTCCATCCTTAGAGGTTTTTAAGGCCTCGCTTGACAAAGCCCTGGCTGGGATGATTTAGTTGGTGTTGGGCCTGCTGTGAGCAGGGCGTTGGACTAGATGACCTTCTGAGGTCTCTTCCAACCCTAATCTTCTATGATTCTATGCTTGACTCATGTCATAGCAAAGGTTCTTTCCAGGAAGCTGAAAGAAACTACAAAAGAGGGGAAGTGACATCATCACTTGGCCTCTTCTCCCCCCACAACTCAACACCTGGAAACACGTCTGGAGGACAAAGACTGAATGGGGGAGGTGGTCCCAGGCTGGAAAGGAGAATCCCAGCCTGTATATTCAGGAACTAGATCATCTACCAGGGTGAGACACTGTTTGATTCAGATCCTGTCTAGTTTATAGAACTCAGACTGTGGTTTTACTTTTATTTCTTAGGTAACTAACTTTGATCTGTACACTTATTACTGATAATCACTTAAAATCTATCTTTCTGTAGTTAATAAATCTATTTTATATTTTACCTAAAAGAGTGCAAATTTGTTGAAACGCTTTGGGCAATCTGCTCAGTGTACAAAAGCTGGTGCATTTCCTCTTTCTTTTGCAGAAGTGGCAGACCGGGTAATAAAACTTACAGTGGTCAGGGCAAGATGGTACTGCTCTGGGGTCCAAGGCTGGGGAGCTGAGGGAACTGGCTGGAGCCTCTCTATTGTTGGTTCATGAGCGGCTGGCAAAAGCATTCATGTAACTCAGTTGGGTGTGTCCCTGACTGTGGATGTCTGTGTAGGTGCAGTACCTGGAGAGGTTTGTGGCTTAGCAACAGCATCACAGTGTGGGACAGCCCAGGTTAGTAAGCCAGAGGGCTCAGCGGTACCCCAGTTCCAGGTTGCACCCTGGGGAACCAGTCACAAGCTGATCATCAAGTAGGTGGGTGCAAGAACTATCCTCCTTTATCAGGCATTTAATTACTCACTTTTCCAAACTCCCCACACACAAACAAAGAAAAGCAGAAAACAGTTCAGCATTAAACAACTATGAATCAAACAGGAAAATAATCAGATCTGACTCTGCTCTGCCATAAAGTATGCTATATTTGAGAATTGCTGATTGGATAAATAGGTTTTTGCAAGGGAGCAACAATGAATTTTCTGCATATGATTTACAGACTTAATCAATAATGCAATAGGCAATTTCACCACAACAACATTATCCATATTCATGTACTAAAGGAAACACATTCAGCAGTTTTAACTATTTGCCCATTTAAAACCCCATGAACTGAGAAGTCAGAATTCAATCCCAATTTTCTAGGCATGGATTTTTTTCAGTTGGCAAGCTAATTCAGAAATAAATGTTAGATGGACAACCACAAATCTGGTGTCACAACCTTAGAAAACCTTTTTATACGAAATAGGGTCTAATCTAAAGTTGCTGGGGTTCATTCTATAACAAAAAAGAGTACTACACTGACTAAAATAACACTATACAAAATATATACAATACTGTCACTGTTCTTTTAAGATTAACCTCTGAACAAACCTGACAGCAAAAAACCTGCTGTAGCACATGGTTCGAAGCAGGCCCCAGTATATCAGTGACAGAGGATAATGGAAGGCACAACATGATTGTTTGGTTAAGAGTATGCTAAAGTATAAAAAAAGCTGACATTTAAAAAAAATCCCTTACAGTCTCACGATGAAGAGTTTTTGCATTTATATTTGGAAGGGCTCAGAGCTCTCACTCCCAAATAAATCTGCATGCAGTACATAAATATTTTACACACACACATACCAAAACACTTTCGTTTGGTTTCAGATCTCTGCTCTCTATTCCCAGTGGAAAAATGTTTCTGCTATAATTAATTCACTGGGATATGAAATGGAAAAATCTTTCACCTCGAGACATTTCACATTAGACGAAAGAGACAATCAGGGTGACAGAGCAAATCCGCCTTTTATTAAGCAGACCTGATGGGGTCAGACAAGAGGAATAAAATGTCAGATCTAAAACCTGTACAACAAGGTGGAGGAAGATTTTATGAAAGAGGTGGAGAGAAATTAAAATCTCCAGAAGAGACAAGGCCGCATCAACAAAGGAGATCCAACATTTAGACATTACAGGTATCAGTTTAATGCAGGGCAGTTTTACGCTCTCTCTCTCTCTTAATACAACAACTGGTAGTATTAACATTGTCAGAATACTGCTGCAGGCTTTCCATCTCTCCAGCAGCATGTGCAGTGCAAGCTCACTAATTCCTTCCCTGAGGCAAAGAGCATGACCCCGATCCCCTAGCAAGTCAAAATCCCAAAACCTTACTGCTAATTATAATGAAGCAGGACCCAGAATAAATCTGCTGCCTGACAGAATAGCTCTTCCCCTCCCCCATGCCTAAAGATCTCAACAGCCTTCAAGGTCATCCATACATTAAACATCCTCCTCTGCACTCCTTTGTTTTTTCTCTCCCCTTCATTTTTAACCTACAGAAGGAAACTGAAAGAAGAAAGGTTGCTTTTTAAAACCTACAATCCTCAATTGAAGTCTCCTGAAATTCAGACATAATATTTGCTGATAAACTCTGGGTTTGAACATGAAGCGAGAAATTTCTATCACCACAATTCAGTTGGTGGGGTTTCCAGTGTTATTTTCATGCCACACTTAATGTTACTTTAGAAGAGGCATTAGAGCTGGGAATGACAATAATGAAAAGTATTTGATTATATCTTCAAGAAACCAAGCTTCCCGGCCACCACCTTCCCCAAAAGATACCAAGCCATAAGATTTTTGGCAATTTAGATGTTAAAACCAATAATGCAACACACAAGCATTTAATGACAATGTATTGATTTCAAGATGCATTTTACCCCTAAGAACGCCAGTGAAACCAAGTGAAAACAGATTGACTGTGGGCTGGATCTAAATATGCTTGATCTTACTTTACAGTAAAGTGATAAAGTGGGAGCTTTCCTGAATACAAGTTCTAAGTAAAGAGAGTAAGGCGGTCAGGATACGGTATGTTAATTATTGTTTCTCTCGCTTCCGCTAATAAAGTGAGATATCAAGTGTGTTGGAGTGTTTTAAGGCTAAGCAATGCAACAAGGGGTTAAAAGGTCGTACCAGTTGCTATACATGAATCTAATTTTCCAGCCATTAGCTTCATTTTGCTGATTGGAGAAATAGACATACAAGAGCTTATCACATACCCACTAAACAGTGGCTTCTTGTGCAATCATAAGAGCAGATTTTAATGGATTCCTGATAATGTGCACGTGTGTGAATGAGGGCAGAATCAAGCCCTAAACTTGTATAAGTTCATGACAAAATTGAAGTACAGTAAATAGTATTTGTTGAACCATACCCTTTTATTACCCTTCAGTTACTGGAAACATCTGGTCAAAGCCATATTAGTCATTATGAACAGCAGAGCTCTTCCAATTCTTTCTTTCCTACACTTGCTTATGTACAGTTTTTCATTTTTCCCACACTCAGGGTCAGTTTCTCACTTGCTCAAATGAGTCAAAAACCAAAACCAATTCAATGATCCACCAGCAAGATGATGAAATTCTAGATATGCACAGTACTTTACATATGCTGTAAGAAACCTTAGGGCTTGTCTTCACTACCAGGGTAAGTCAACCTAAGTTACACTACTCCAGCTACGTTATTTACATAGCTGGAGTAGATATAGCCTACGTCGACCTACCGCGGTATCTTCACTGCGCTGCATCGATGGGAGATGCTCTCCTGTCGACTTACCTTACTCTTCTCAGCGAGATGGAGTATCGGGGTCGACTGGAGAGTGCTCTGCAGTCGATTTAGCGGGTCTTCATTAGACCCGCTAAATCGACACCCGCTGCATCGATTGCAGCAGTGTCGATCTCCCCAGTAGTGAAGACGAGCCCTTAGCTTAAGCAACATTTCTAGCTACTAAAAACACAGTGCAGCATGCATCAAAAATCATGTTTTCATGGGGTCAAGTCATATCATCGCATTCCTATCCTCCCACCTTCTATTTATAAATTCACTGAGTCCAAAGGTTTCCTTTCTGACCCATGTAATGTCACTCTATATTTGGAAAGTGTTTTTCTCCCCCAGGAAAGGAAACTTTCCATACTTCTCCAAAAATATAAGACAATATTTAGAAGAGAAAACACAAGACATTATTTAATTCTGTGTCTAGGGTTAATTTTTGTGGGGAGGATATTCATTGTCCATTAACTCTAACCATACTAAGACAGTAACAGAACACTGGTTCAGTCTTATTGGGGTCATGGGGTTTTCATCCCTGCTGTTTATAAAGGGTGGAAAATGGTAGCCCATAAAGAATGCACTCCTCAAGTCTGTGCATCTGCTGCCATATCAGGCTGAGACAACCAGCACCCTTCTGTGACCAACAGTGTTTTATCCAAGCCACTAGTGTGTGCTCAAAAAAGAAACAATATATGTACACCATTCATGACTAAACATCACCAGACTAAAGGATTCTATGTTTATAGATCACAGTGAAGGCAGATCATTAGATTGTGCAGCTCAACTAATAGCCTAGAAAGCCGGCAAACATCTCAACAACAACAACAAAAACATGCACTAATTCCCTTCTCACCTGTGAAGAAACTTTTCATATGTTTGGCGGTAGGCAAATCCTGCCCGTCGTACCCTGACATTCTCCAGAAGTCCAAGGTATTCCACCTGATGCCTGCAGCGTTCTTCATCAAACAGCTGTGATGACTTCTTTTCATTGGGCTTAATGCATCGGACATAATATGGCTCCTACGGGGACAAATCAAACAATGACTTGCACAGAGCTAAGAACTTTGTGAAGGATACAATTTACTAAATAAAACACACGAATGCACAATTAAAGTAAGTATGCATTCTCCTAAACAGTTTGCCTTTGAATATGAACACGATATAACATATTAACTGAAATTTTCTCTTCAGTTACAGAAAGGAAACAAGACAAGGCTACTGTCATTGAGGAGCATTTGGAGTAATAAAGTGACCTGGGGGGACATGTTTGCAATGAATAAGTATAGACAAATTAAGGGGTCCCAGTACAATAATGAGTCACTGGCACAAAGACACGTGTCCTTGAAAAGTATGGAGTCAAATTCCCTCAACTGGTCCAAATGGATCACCTGTACTCCAGAGGACTTTATCCCAAGGGGGAGGAGAGTTATGTTTCACCACTCACATTCAAAGATTCCCCCAGGGGAGCACAACTATAGTTGCCACCATTAGCCCCGTCAAATGAGGCTGCTTCACCACCCACTTTTCAGGGGGTCACCTTGCCCAGCCATAACTTTTCTCTAACAGGCCCTGAGTCTGGCTTAGCCATAACCTGTTTGGACCACATCTCAAGCGCCCTTGGTCAATTCTAGCTCAAGCCCATATATGCCATTCAAGCAGCATATAGAGACCATATAGGTTCCACAACTGGCTAGAGAAGAATTCTTCTAGAACAGAAGATACAAAGAGTCAACTTATGCTGCCCCACCCAGCGCCTGGTAGAGGGCATACTGGAAGGGGAACCTCTGTAGGGCTGAGTGCCATAGAAACTCTGAACTACACTGGGCTGTAGCATAGCCCATAGGCTTCTTGAATAAGGTTGCAGCCAATTAAAGAAGCCTCTAGGGCTGCTCCATGTTATACTGGTAGCCGCATTGGTCTCCAGAATGCCAAGAATTGAAGCAGCATGAAGGTGGCTTTTGCCACGCTGTCTCCAAGCACATGAAAAGATGGGAGTTGCCTTACCAAGTGGGGCATCAGTACTAATGAGGCCAATTCAATTAAGGTGGAAGTGGCCTATTCGCAACAGTTGACATGAAGGGGTGAATATCATGTGCTGTAAAATATATATATACTGCTTATTGTATTTTTCACTCCAAGCATCTGATGAAGTGGGTTTTAGCCCACAAAAGCTTATGCCCAAATAAATTTGTTAGTCTCTATGGCAGTGGTTCTCAAACTTTTGTACTGGTGACCCCTTTCACATAGCAAGCCTCTGAGTGTGACCCTCCCACCTTATAAACTAAAAACACTTTAAAATATATTTAACACCATTATAAATGCTGGAGGCAAAGTGAGGTTTGGGGTGGAGGCTGACAGCTTGCAACCCCCCCCCCCCCCCTAATAACCTCCCCACCCCCTGAGGGTCCCGGCCCCCAATTTGAGAACCCCTGCTCTAAGGTGCCACAAGGACTCCTCGTTGTTTTTGCTGATACAGACTAACACGGCTACCACTCTGAAAACTGTGGAAAAAATCCTTGCCTGAAAACAAATGGATGGCAAATGCCCAGTCTTCGTAATATTTAGCTCACGTCATCAACAAAGTATTCAGTTACTTATTATCTGGATTAAAAAAATTTTAATTACAAATCAGTGTAATCTTTATTCATGTTTACAGCAGGTTTGGGAGACCTCAGCCTAGATAAATGTCTGAAAAAAGCTATTTTATGTTTGTTCTGTAATTTATGACAATAGGAAAGTTTAATCCATGCTTACCTGAAAGTTACCTTTCCTTAAAAAATAAGGTCCACAGATTCATTACAATGGGTACTTCAGCCTGCATGAAACCTGGGGGCAGAACCAGCCCCATGTGCCCTGACTCTTTCTGGAACTGGACTCTCCCATGCCTTGTACACTTCCATAATACATTGTCTACTCCACCTAGCATCGGAGGACTTGGAATCTCTGAGTCCTTGACATTTCAGGTGGAAGGATACAAAAAGGCACCGGATCTCCTCATGGACTCTGTGTTGGAGGTAAATTTTCAGAGCCCTTCTAACATCTAAGGTGTGCCACCTCTCCCCAGTGGGATGCTCTGGCCTTGGACACAATGAAGGGAGAATCACTTCTTGGAGGCATGGAAGGAAGAGTTCACCTTTGGGTGAAACGATTCCGGAGTTCTGAGCACTGCCTTGTCTTCATGAAATATGCAGTAGGGCTCCTGAATAGAAAGCTCTGCCAACTCCAACACTCATCTGGAGGATGGGATGGCTACGAGAAAACAAGTCTTGATGGACAAATACTGACATCAGTAGTTCACAGGGTTTTTTTGGTCTGGGCTCACATCACAAGTGTCTCATTTGGGAAACAGAGGCCTGCCTGCCTGCTTGGCTAACCAGATCCAAGGGCTACCTTGGGTTTCTGTGTCAGAGAATCCAGAGATTCTGCAAACACCATGCTACTATAGGCAGACACCTGACGAGCAATGGTGCTGCCCAGAAGCTGCGACTGGACAACAGGGGATGGATCACCTGGTAAATTGCTCTGCTCTGTTCATTCCCTCTGAAGCACCTGGCACTGGCCACAGTTGGAAGACAAGATCCTGGGCTAGATGGACCATAGACTGACCCACCATGGCCATTCTTATGCCCACTGCATGATATCCATCGCTTCAGCGTATAGCACTGGGCTTCTTGTTCACTACTGGTTGTTCACTTATGCGACTACAGTCATGTTGTCTGACTGACTGAGGATGTGATTCCCCTCTAGGCTGGACTGGAACCTTTGCAGCATCAGCTTGATTGCTCTTAGTTATAGGAAGTTTATACTGTGGGCTCTTTCCTCTGCGTTCCAGACGTCTTGAGCTGCATGAGATCCCAAATGTGCTCCCCATCCCTTGAAGCTGGCATTGACTGTGAAGATAAGGAGGTCTAGAAGGCATATGGGTATCCTTTTATGGACATGGCCTTGGGCTGACCACCATTTAAAAGAGTTGATTACCTGTGCCAGAACCTTCACTTGATATGTTCCCAGGAACGGACCTTAAAGATGAAGCCGTGAAGGTGCCTGTTGTCTGACTGCACCCATGGAGTGATCCCTTTGCACAGTACTAGGAGGCCAAGTACTTGAAGGCTCAATGCTATAGTGGGCTTCTTGCAGTTCCGGAACAATGCAAGGAGGTCCTGAATCTTTTGGAACCTCTCTAGAATTGGATATATCCTTGCTATCAAGGTGTCCATGGAAATGGGTAAGGAGACTGTCTGCCCAGAAGAGCCTGCCTCTCCAATCCTGCCTGCATCCCTTCCTGCACAAGAGAGGGTGGCTGAAGTGACCGGGCTACATCCTCCCCCAGAGACAGCTAAGCTCCCCAGCAGGACACAGACCCCTCTTTTTACCTCTGGCTTTTCTCACCTAGCTTTCCCTGAAGACTGCTGGGATATCAACCACAGCAAACACCTCTAAAGGGGGAGCAGTGATGAGGGGACAACTTCCTTCGAAAGTTCAAACACAGCCACAGGACCCAGATGGGGATGGGAATTGGAATTGTTAGCCTGAAAACTTGAAATAAAGTTTGGAATTTCCCTCAAGGCAGCTCTGCAACAGGGAAGCTTGGCCAAGCCACCAGCAGGCAGAAAAAACTGGAAGGATTTTCAGGAGGCAGGCATTCTCCTGCTGCCAGTCACTGCCAGGGCTGGGTTGACTCCCAAGCTGCATAAGGCTGAAGTACTCATTGTGATGGATCTGGGGACCTGAGCACAATGAAGAATGAGTTGGTTTAAATCCAGTTCCAACATCATAGATTTCCACAGCACAAAGGTCAAACCTGGCAGTAACTAACATCCTTGTTATGAGAGGCATCAAGGATGGAATGGGCCATGGAGACCAATAGTGGCTCTTCCAGGTCCAAGTTGAAGCACATTGGCAGGGTACTGCTGGGACAGGTACTGCCCTGTTTTACCTAGTCTGTGAACAAAGGACACTGGTCTCCAGTGCTGTCAAGTACACCCTTCACAGCATTTTGAGATCTTACACACAATTGGAGTTTATCTCGCTTAAACTTACATTTATTTAAATGTTCTACAGTGGAGAAATCCAAAAAGGTCAACATGAGAGAGAGACTCCTAAACCTGTCTTGGGATCTCTCTTTACAGCATCAGGATAATGCCTTCATTTTGAATTTTTTGGATTTCATTTTGTTTCAAAGCTTAATGCTTTTTCAAAGTAGTTTTTGCACTTCATAATGGTCTGTAATGAACATCCCGGTACCATAGATACTAGGGTAAACTGCAGTGGATATTTCAACATTAACATTACTGCCAACTTGATTTTTATAGGGGTACATATCTGGTTCCCATTGCTGTGGTATCTGAGCCCCTCACACTGTCTTTAGTGCATTTATCCTCTGTGAAGTGGGGAGGAACTATTCTCTCTGTTTTACAGATGGGAAACTGAGGCACCAAGACACTAAGTGACTTGCCCAGTTTACACAGGTAGTCTGCATCAGAGCAGGGAATTGAAACAACCTCAAGTCCTAGCACTCTAACCACTGGATCAGCCTTTCTCTGTATGAAAGTTTCAAAACTAGAGGTGAAGAAATGAAGAAAGTGTCTCCTCTACGGTTTGCAGCTAATTACCTGAGACATGCTTAGACACTCCAAAAAAGATGCATAAGGGAAACATTTGTGCTAGATTAGTCACAGTGATGGAATTATAAACATACTAGAGAGGAAGCCTGTCAAAGTGAATTCAAGGGAAAGCAAAGAGTGGAGAGGAGGGAAAAAAATCATATGGAGAGGCTGGAATAAAGGAGGGGTCTCAAAAGAGCAGTCAGCCCCAGAATAGCTCATCATTCATCATAATGTCAGCCAGAGCAGTACAAGCCCTAGTGTTTTTAAAAGGAAAGGAAGAACCCAAGTGATCAGTCAAACAAGACCAAATACTCAAGAGGAAAGCATGGGAAGATAACATTTGTCAAGCACACACCTTTATGTGGCAGCTACATAAATCAGCCTATAGACATTTTAAAAAGATGCATTTGAAGA